CCATTCCATATGTTGGATCTTTAAGAAGCATTATTATAAATGGTATTGCTATCAGGAAAGGATTGACAATGCCACTGCCCAAGGTAATATGTCATGACTCATATCTAGAACCATAGAATTCTGGAGCCAGGAGAGACTTGGGCACAGTAGGGTGTATGTGGGAGATCTGGCTACCGAAATGTTGCCTTTAGACTCAGGCCAGTCCCTGGCTTTTCTTCACATCCCCCTTTCAGGAGTGTTACACCCTAGAGGGAAGTACTTCCAAGAACCACTCAGCCAGGATGTTGCCCTGGAAGCATTAGGGTGGCCCCTACCCAGTACTGGAAAAGCTGGTGCTCATTTCTGATGGTGGAAGTTACAAAACAATCCCACGATAGTTCAGAATTACATATAATAAAGGGTTATTTATTTAGGGGAGACTCACAGATCTCTGCCCTAGATCACAGTCCTCTGCACAAATGGGGAACAGGAAGGGTCTAGCAGCCAGAAGCGAGAGCTGGAAGCAAGAGAGTGAGCGCAGGCTTTACAGCTGCATTCATAGTATAGGAGACCACACTCAAGTGGGCTTGTATCTTAAAGGCTATTGGCAGAAAGAACGGAAGAAGCTCCCACAGCATCTCCCCCTTTTGTTTAAATAAGAGAGTTCCAAACCCAATACAAAACTATATACACTAGGAACAGATATCAAGTATAAGATTAGAATTACAACCGGCACAAACAACATTAAACAAGGAACATATGCTAAAAGTTTTAATAAACATTCTATCCTAAGGAGTCTAAGTCTTGTATTGGAAATGGCTTGGCTAGATCATAAGAGGACGGTAACTACAATTATCTAATCTTCAACTCCATCAAAGGCCTGAGACGGGAGATAATATTTTTTTTCCAGGTTCCAGGCACTGTCATTTGGAAGTCTGTGGGGTCTGAGGGAGCAGAACAGCCATTTAAAGAAGAAACATGACCTCTTTGCACAACTAACTGCTGCAGAGTTTGGGACCGACCCCCAGGATCAACAAGCTCATTCTTTAGCAGTTTCTTGATCATCACTGGTCCACTTACACCCAGCCAAAGTGAACCATCCAGGCCAGCTGAGGGGTAAATATACCTACTGCCAGGGTCTGACTTCCAGCAAGGAAAGAAACTATGCTTTTAAAGAGATTCTGATGCTGTTGGGCAGGACCGAGGAACCCCAAGTTATATAGAAAAGGTTGCATTAAAGTCACCAAACTGGCATTAGTGTCACAGTCATTCATGCACCTGTGTGTCGGCTCTGGGGAAGCAGCAACAAATGCAGTAGGAGCAGGTTCCTGTGAGGTCTAAGGTTCCCACACTTTGACGTGTTTGTGTGTGTGTGTGTGTGTGTGTGCACGCATGCATGTGTGTGTGTGTGTGTGCACGCATGCATGTGTGTGTGTGTGTGTGTGTGTGTGCTGTATAGGCTGGTAGTGGCTGCATCATGGGAGATGTCACAGATACACTGACCTTAAAGATGGGAACTTGGGGTTCAGCGCCATGCAGTGCTCCCCCACTGACATTCTGCAGAGCGTCAAGGGCACCAGCTGTGGACACAGATCTGCGTCTGTGTGCTGCAAGGCGTTGAGCTCACCATTCTCAGCCCCAGCAGATGGACACTATTCTGTGAAGCTGATTTTCCTGGAGCTTGTTCCAGGGGATATGCTAATTAACATTTGCTGGGCTCCTGCTGTGCATGAAGCTTACGCTGCATAATTCAAGCCTCACAACTCTGAAAGACACTGTGATTATCCCTGCCCTACAAGGAGGACAAGATGTGTTTATCCAACCAACAATAAAACCTGGGCTGGATCCTAGGAATCAAGTTAAAAACAAGGCAGGCAGGCAGACAGACAGACACAGGCTTGCTGACATCCTGAGAACAAGTACTGTAATAGCAGGGTAGCTGGGCTGCTGAGTAAAGAAAGGACTGGAAGGTCCAGGAAGGTCCAGGAGCCATAGGAGACCAAGGAAGATGCAAGAGTTGGTGGACAGGCAAGAAAGGACAACAGGAGGGTGCCTGAAAGCAGCAGTAAGAGCTAAGACATCAGCCCAAGTCCAGAGTTTGCAAAACAACAAAACACGACACTTTAAGCCATCTCTGTACAGTACATTTCTATGCTTAGGTAATATTCAGTCTGTAAATCTGTATTTCTGCTCTCCAGTTGTCATGCCTACTGGGGGAAATGTATTCTTTTGTTGTTGTTTTAGGCATTGATCTTCACGTACAGAGAATGATAGCAATGAATCTTTACGAACTTGTGGTGGACTGGGGAGCGGACTTGAACTCTGAGGAGACTACACACTTGGGAGTCTAAGTGCAGTTGCGCATGGGTGAAGGAGGGCCTTGCTACTCCCCCAGTGGCCCTTCCTTTCTTGCACATTGTTTCTGGAGTACATATGACAGATAGGTGGGTGTGCCTAGAGGTGATCCCAGCTGGCTGGTGACCGTGGCAGCACATGCCTCATCTCAGCATGCCTTCCCTGCCACAGGCCCAGCACGAGTTTTCCTTAGAGCTTTGGGATCACTAGGCAGAAAAGCCAACAGGCTATGGAGTCTGGTAGACAGACATCACGTGACAGTCTCCCATCCTCAGGGCCTATGCTGACCACCTGCCATCACAGCGGTCCTATCTCCCTGACGGCAGCGGGTCAGCTGGTTCAGCTACCTCAGAGTGTGGGAGCTCCCTCACGCACGCGAGGGGCAGCAGGAACCTGTGAACTTCCATGGTGTACCCCTGGAAGAGGGAAAAGGCCTGAGAGGCGAGTTCCCATTAGAACCACCTCTAAGTGTGAAACACAAGAACCCCAGTTGCTGGGGGATGAAACCCCATTGGAGCTAACAAGAGGTGATCTGTTACAAAGAGGGGAGCTCATGATTTGAGGTCAAGGTTTGTGATACATCCTCAGTTCAGACACTGGACACGGGCCTTGATAACCCAGGCTCCGTTTCCCCATCTGCAAAATCAGCTGCAACTATATCAAACTATATTAATATATATATTTAACAAGTTTGTCTGTTATCTAATAATCTATCTACATCAATCAATCATCTATTTATTATCTGTCATCTCATTATCTATAAATAGATCATCTATCAATCCATCATTATTATCAATCTATATCTGTAGAGGGCACAGGTCCTTGTGCTCACAGAAGAGTACTAGGGAAACCAGGAATGTACAGGGTTGTCATTCTGGAAGGAATGGGTGTAGTTAGCAGCCTGGTAACCCATGCTATCTGCAGAGCCAGGCTACACCGACTCCCATGACTACTGTTTATCCCCTGCTCTCCCTCCCTGGCTCTTTATCTCAAGCACTGTTTCTCCATCAATAGAGCCCACTCTTATGGGAGATGTCACGTGTAGAACCCACTCTTATGGGAGAGGTCACGTGTACTTTACAGCAGTCCAGGTGACCTCTGTGCTGTCTGTTGTGCCAGGCCACACCTGACTCCCACAGACCTTTACTTTTCTCTCAGTCACTCCTAGACCCTTGTGTTGAACACTGTTTCTCAGTCAACAGAGCCATCTTTATGGAAGAGATCATGTGTACTTTGTATAGAGTTTCATTATAAACACGTCTTAAATTTTGTTGTACTGAGCCAGATTTTCTTCTTGGTTTACTCTGCTGGCCATGGTGTTTGCAGAGACTCCCATAATCTGTCTGTCTGTCTGTCTGTCTGTCTGCCTGCCTGCCTATCTATCTATCTATCTATCTATCTATCTATCTATCTATCTATCTACTATCATCTATGTATGTATCATCTATCTATCTGCCAGCTACCAATCTATCATTACCGATCTACTATACTAATATATGTGTCTATTATTCATTTATATAGCTATCAATCTAACATCTACCTATCATCTATCTGTCTATTGCCTATGATCCATCATTCATCTACCATCTATCTATCTATCTATCTATCATCCATCAATCTGTCTACCTACCTATCACCTACATATCTCCCTACAATTTATCAAGGGGATACTTGCTATATCACTCCCATCCCTCCATTGGTGGCAGACAGGTATACTCAGCACCAACATGTCTTGGGAAGCTTTAGAGGGAAGGCAGCCCAGTGGGCAGAGGCAGAGTGGGGAGGCGGCCGTGAACCCTTTCTGCTGGGGGCTAGCTTATCTTCCATGCTTTTCAAACCATGTACCTAGGTTTGTTTGTAAGGTAGGGGAGGAATGTGGGGCTGAAGAGCCAGTGATCAGGGTTTGGGATCCTGAGAACAAGAATGACATGTTTCAAACACAGGGATTCCATATGAGATTGGTTTCAAAGGGAATCTTGGGCTGAAAAATAAACAATTTGGGATCTGAAAATGGAACAGATGAAGAGTCCAGATGGCCACGCCCAACACCAAGCTCCTGTACCATGGACAGGAGCCTCTTTACCGCTTTAACGAAGGGAGGGTAGGATCAGAACCCCAAACCATGGGCAAACGGGAGAGGAAGAGGAAACAATGCTTTTCACCAACGGCAACAGGGTTGCCAGACTCAAAGGTGAAGGTCAGCAGGAGTGGATGTGGATGACTTACGGGCAGTGGTGTCCCCTCCTTGATGGTCCCTGGCAATGACTGAGAAAGTTCTTCTCTCCCGAGTACATGGGCTGAATACTATGGAGGAAGCTCTCTGGGGCCCAGGGCATCTCTGCACACACATACACGCACACACACACACACACACACACACACACAAACATACACATATGCACCATGTGCACACACACATGCTTGCACATGTGTACAATACACACTTGCACACACACACATGTACACACTGCTGCTGCTGCAGGGAGTGCACTCTGCAGGTATCTCTTGGCCCTTGCTTTTTTCAGCTCCTTCTGGATGCACACGCACATACAAGCATGTCACACATGTACACACACGTGCACACGCACACATATGTGTGCACACATACACACTCATACTGCAGCTGCCGCAGGCAGCACTGTCCACAGGCATCTCCTGGCCCTTACCTTCTTCAGCTCCTCCTGGACGTCCTGGCTGTTCCCCTCAGCAGAGCAACTTTCCTTCTGGTTCTCAGGTTCAGTCTTGGGCTCAGACTCCTGGTCCTCCCCAGAAGAAGTCTCCTTTTCGCTCATTTTCATGGCTAATTTGTACAGCTTGTTTCTCAGCTTCTCCTCTGCAGAGTCTGTGCTGGTCCGGGAATTCTGAGCCTCGTTGCTGATGTCAGTCTCTGACACATTGTCTGACACCTGTGTGGAGCCAGAATCAGGAGATAAAAGATCCTCTGTGGAGTGGGCTTCCACTTTATTTGATTTTAACACATTCAACACTTGGCTGAAGAGTTACATAGATGAGCATCACACTTGGAATATGTCTGAATCCATGATTTTGTGTACGTGGGTGGGTGGCACATGAACCATGGAGAGGACAACCTTAGCTATTGTTCCTTAGTGTCTTAGACAGTGTTCTACTGCTGTGAAGAGAACCATGACCAAGGCAACCTCTATAAAAGAAAGCATTTAATTGGGTCTGGCTCACAGTTTCAGAGGCTTAATCTATTATCATCATGGTAGGAAGCATGGCAGCTTGCATGCAGGTGCTGGAGAAGCAGCTGAGTGCTACACCCTGATCAGCAAGTAGGTGGTGCTCATGCCTGAGTCTTGAATAGGCTTGAACACTTGAAACCTCAAAGCCTACCCCCAGTGACACACAGCAGCTAACAAACCTCCCAATCCTTCTAATCCTTTCAAATAGAACACTCCCTGGTGACTAAGCATTCAAAGATGTTAGTCTATGGGGCCACTCTTATTAAAACTACCACACCCAGTCACAGCCTGCCTTGTTTGTTTTTGAGACAGGATCTCTTTCCACAGGCCTGAGTACTTTACTCCTTTCCCAGAGACTAGGGCTTTTCCTCTGCAATTTGGAATTCCCTGATTGTGTACCTCAGCCCTGAGTTAGCTCTGACTGCCTCTGCCTCACTGGGTTCAATTATCACTTGTCTGGAGCTCACCAAGTAGGCAAGCTCCACGGATCCAACTATCTGGCTCCCCAGGACCAGGACTCCAGGCACACACCACCGTATCTGGCTTGTGCATATACGTCACACATACTGTGTGACACCCCTATATCTGCAGCCCCCCATTAGTTAATAACCGTGCCTCAGGTTCCTGCTTTTTATTTGGTGGTTACATGCTAAGCTCCTTCTATGAATGTGACTCTTACAGGCTGGTGGAACCAAGGAGGCCATGAAGACTGTGGCTCTTACTGCATTCTTGGTTTATGGCTGTGCAGCTGTGCACCGAAATGTTCATTCTCTCTACATGGGACATTTAAGCCACCCCCTCTCACCTAAAGCTCAGTGGACAGCATAGAAGAGGGGGGGAGAAGAATGTAAGCCTGAATGGGGAGGAGTACTGGGACACAGACATGGTGTGACCACTGCACTCAGGAACCTGTGACACGCCACCTGCTGGACATGCGTGACCACTGCAGTCAGGAACCTGTGACACGCCACCTGCTGGACATGCGTGACCACTGCAGTCAGGAACCTGTGACACGCCACCTGCTGGACATGCATGACCACTGCAGTCAGGAACTGTGACATGCCACTTTCTGGACACGAGTGACCACTGCACACAGGAACCTGTGACAGACATGCCATCTTCTGGACACTGTGTGACCACTGCACTCAGGAACCTGTGACAGACACGCCATCTTCTGGACACGGCATGACCACTGTACTCATGAGCCTTTGACAGACACACCACCTTCTGGACACGGCATGACCATTGCACTCAGGAACCTGTGACAGACATGCCATCTTCTGGACACTGCGTGACCACTGCACTCAGGAACCTGTGACACACCACCTTCTGGACACGGCATGACCATTGCACTCAGGAACCTGTGACAGACACGCCATCTTCTGGACACTGCGTGACCACTGCACTCAGGAACCTGTGACACACCACCTTCTGGACACGGCATGACCACTGTACTCATGAGCCTTTGACAGACACACCACCTTCTGGACACGGCGTGACCATTGCACTCAGGAACCTGTGACAGACATGCCATCTTCTGGACATGGCGTGACCACTGCACTCAGGAACCTGTGACAAGCTAGACACGGCATAACCACTGTGAAACACTCACAGCATGACCACCGCACTCAGGAACTCACTGAAGCCATGGTTACCCACAAAGACAAGTCAACAAGACCAGCCAGCGTTGCAACAGGCAGCACTATGGGAACTCTGGACTGACACAGGCGTGGGAGCAGGGATGGGGAGAAGATCTCAGGTGGGGGGATGTGCAGGAAGGTGTCTGAGGGAGTGGGGGAGGGTTTGAGGGCGGTTAGGACTGAGATACGCTGTACACATGTATGAGACTGTTAAAGAATATACAGATATTTTGAAGGATTGAAACATCCTTAAGTTGGTAACACAGCATGCCGTCTGGGTCTCCTGGGCTCATTTTAGGCCTCTGACGCTCCTTGAGAATCACTCTCTATTTTTAGGGTGTCATATTTCACAGCTCTTGTTCTCTTTGAAGGAGGCTAAAGAACAAAGGGAAAATTTACTTATTTTTCAAATGGAGTCAGACTCATTCTGTTTTGCAACTACCACGTGTTCGCTGGGCATTTTACAAACCTACGATCTCTGACAGGATCTTTGTAATCCTTTTCTTATCTTTAAACATGTTCCACTCACTATCCATCACACTTATTTCCCATCATTTTTATCTGTTATTTCTGATGAGGCAAAATGGACAAAAAGAGCAAACTGAAAGAGAATAGAATCTCAGCTAAAATACCAAGTTAATAAAGAGAAGAAGAGTGAGATTCATTCCATTCTATCTCTCCACACACAGCTGAGAATTCACTTTTTTCATATAGTAAAGAGAAGAACACTGTTGGGGAGACGAGGAGGGCACGTCACAGCCGTTAGACAGCTCAGAAGAGGGACTTGGTGTGGAGGGACCCTGAAAACTGGGAGGGAGTGGACAGTCACCTGACCCTGACAACTGGGAGGGAGTGGACAGTCACCTGACCCTGACAACAATGAGGGAGTGGACAGTCACCTGACCCTGACAACAATGAGGGAGTGGACAGTCACCCGACCCTGACAACAGGGAGGGAGTGGACAGTCACCCGACCCTGACAACAGGGACGGAGTGGACAGTCACCTGACCCTGACAACAGGGAGGGAGTGGACAGTCACCCGACCCGGACAACAGGGATGAAGTGGACAGTCACCCGACCCTGACAACAGGGACGGAGTGGACAGTCACCCGACCCTGACAACAGGGAGGGAGTGGACAGTCACCCGACCCTGACAACAGGGACGGAGTGGACAGTCACCCGACCCTGACAACAGGGAGGGAGTGGACAGTCACCCGACCCTGACAACAGGGAGGGAGTGGGCAGTCACCCGACCCTGACAACAGGGAGGGAGTGGGCAGTCACCCGACCCTGACAACAATGAGGGAGTGGACAGTCACCCGACCCTGACAACAGGGAGGGAGTGGACAGTCACCCGACCCTGACAACAGGGAGGGAGTGGACAGTCACCCGACCCTGACAACAATGAGGGAGTGGGCAGTCACCCGACCCTGACAACAGGGAGGGAGTGGACAGTCACCCGACCCTGACAACAGGGACGGAGTGGACAGTCACCCGGCCCTGACAACAGGGACGGAGTGGACAGTCACCCGACCCTGACAACAGGGAGGGAGTGGGCAGTCACCTGACCCTGACAACAATGAGGGAGTGGACAGTCACCCGACCCTGACAACAGGGACAGAGTGGACAGTCACCCGGCCCGGACAACAGGGAGGGAGTGGGCAGTCACCTGACCCTGACAACAGGGAGGGAGTGGGCAGTCACCTGACCCTGACAACAATGAGGTGGACAGTCACCCGACCCTGACAACAGGGACGGAGTGGGCAGTCACCCGGCCCTGACAACAGGGACGGAGTGGACAGTCACCCGACCCTGACAACAGGGAGGGAGTGGGCAGTCACCTGACCCTGACAACAGGGAGGGAGTGGACAGTCACCCGACCCTGACAACAGGGAGGGAGTGGACAATCACCCGACCCTGACAACAGGGAGGGAGTGGACAGTCACCCGACCCTGACAACAGGGAGGGAGTGGACAGTCACCCGACCCTGACAACAGGGAGGGAGTGGGCAGTCACCCGACCCTGACAACAGGGACGGAGTGGGCAGTCACCCGACCCTGACAACAGGGACGGAGTGGGCAGTCACCCGGCCCGGACAACAGGGAGGGAGTGGACAGTCACCCGACCCTGACAACAGGGAGGGAGTGGGCAGTCACCTGACCCTGACAACAATGAGGGAGTGGACAGTCACCCGACCCTGACAACAGGGACAGAGTGGACAGTCACCCGGCCCGGACAACAGGGAGGGAGTGGGCAGTCACCTGACCCTGACAACAGGGAGGGAGTGGGCAGTCACCTGACCCTGACAACAATGAGGTGGACAGTCACCCGACCCTGACAACAGGGACGGAGTGGGCAGTCACCCGGCCCGGACAACAGGGAGGGAGTGGGCAGTCACCTGACCCTGACAACAGGGAGGGAGTGGGCAGTCACCTGACCCTGACAACAGGGACGGAGTGGACAGTCACCCGACCCTGACAACAGGGAGGGAGTGGGCAGTCACCCGACCCTGACAACAATGAGGGAGTGGACAGTCACCCGACCCTGGCAACAGGGAGGGAGTGGACAGTCACCCGACCCTGACAACAACGAGGGAGTGGACAGTCACCCGACCCTGACAACAGGGACGGAGTGGACAGTCACCCGACCCTGACAACAGGGAGGGAGTGGACAGTCACCCGACCCTGACAACAGGGAGGGAGTGGACAGTCACCCGACCCTGACAACAGGGAGGGAGTGGACAGTCACCTGACCCTGACAACAGGGAGGGAGTGGGCAGTCACCTGACTCTGACAACAACGAGGGAGTGGGCAGTCACCCGACCCTGGCAACAGTCAGACTGGTTCGGCTAAGGAAGACCTGGGGTTTCCCCCAGTCAGATGTCTCAGACTCGAGCACTGATGAGCGGAGATTACCAGCAATATTAGCAAAGCTCAAGAAGAAGGCATTATATTCCATTCATGGTTGACCAACAGAAAGGGCTTCACCCATCAGCACTGTGCAGTGTGAACCGGACAACTGGCTCTTGTTTTGCTGAGAGCCTGCCTGACAAACTGCTCTTGC